AGGCTGTAGAAATGTAATGGAAGTCAATGGAATGTCCCCAATTGAATAGCTGTGCAAACTTGTGTGTGTGTGTTTGATTTTCAGACCCAGAATTGATCAACTTGGATGGTTTTGCTGTGCTGGTCAACCCACCTGTCAACACATCAGCAGGTAAATTTCAATCATTACCAGCTTTTATAAGAGAGGTACAATTGTTGACCAAAGAAATATTTGGTAAAATTTTAAACTTGGCATAAAAAGTAATAAAATTAGTGTTTGGTAGATTATTTCTTTGTTGTAACAATGCTTCTTGACAGTAAATCTTATACTGTTAGAAAGCCTGTTAATTTCCGTTTTAAATGGTGCTACATGTGTAAGGAACATGCATTTGTGGGATGAGCATTTGGGTTGCGCACATGAAAAATTTGCCAAATCTCTGTTAAACAGCTTATTTTGCTGTTTCTGTTAACCCCGGACAACAGCTGAAATGGGACTTTATTTACATTATTTGCTAATATTGCACAACGAATTACTGATTTTGTTCCGCACTTACAGAAAAAGAAAAAGCTGAGATTGAGAAACACTGTGAGAAGTTAAAGCGTCCCTGAATAATGTTCTGTACAGGTCCAGAGAGAAGAATTCACCCAGCTGTGCTGGCAGCCAGAGGAGAAATTCGCACTAAACACAGACAATAGACTGTTCCAAGTCAAAATAAAACAAATGAGATTTTCTTCTCACATGAGAATTGTGTTTATATTTTTATTTGACGTTGTCTTTTAACAGTAAGCACTAAAAGTTTGTTTCAAACCGTACCCAAAGAGGAGTAATCTCATTTGGTTGAYGTTACCTCAACCTCAGTATCAGAAGAACTGACTAAGTTATAGAAACAACCTTGTATTGCTTTGTCTCCTAGATGAGATGTAAATGCACAATTCACTAAATGTGACAACACAAAAATTAAATGTCTGCTTTGTGTCCTTGTTAACATTTTAATAATCCACTGCCAGGTTTGGTGAAGTCCTCTCAAACCACTGACAGAAATCACTCGACGTCCAGACGAACTACCAGGGTGAACAGAACGGCTCGTCCGGCAGGTTTGACCTTTAACCGGTTGCTCCGGAGAGCCCCTCAGTCCTCCTCGGGTCCGAGGCAGCCCGAGAGAGCTGTGGCAGGAACCCCACCGCTGGAAAGAAGACGCCAGCGCCAAACCAAGCCTCAAGCTGACCAGAGAAACGAACAAAGTCCAAAACTTGGTAAGAACACATTTCACATCTTTAATTAACCAAGTAAATAAGTAAATAAATGTGATTTTTTTATGATAATAAATTGTTTAATAGCAGAGGTGTATAAAGTACTTGGGAAAAGTAAAAGTAAAACTACATTTAAAGAAAATGACTTTGGTAGAAATGAATTTCACTGATAAGAACAGTACTTAAAGGGGCAACATTATGTGTTTCTCAGGCATACATTTAAATACTATACCATAATAAAGTATCTATGTCACCTTTAGCTG